GGCATTTGACTGCTAACTCCTCGGAAGGAAGATGGGGCAATCTACTTCCGTAGTGATACTGCCTTGGAAACCCAAGGAGGGGTCACTATGAGTCGGATCTGACCCAACGGCAGTGAGTTTTATTTCCATAGCAGCCAATGGCTTGCCAGGAGCCTTTGACAACTCCTTGGCAACCAGAAGAATCAAACACAGGAATTATACTGTTGATGGGCTCACGAAAATATCAACATGATCATTTTGGAAAGATAATGTATATGTGGGCCTCTTACCTTGGTGAAGTACAAGGTCACCAAGATCCACTCAAGTGGATCCACTCAAGTTTCACTCAAGTCAATATCGGAAGTGACCTCACTCTTTAATAAAAATGCTCCCCAGTCCAGGCTAGCCTAAGCAGTTTATTCATAGTCCTTCCACCTCCTCTTCCTCCCTGGGTTCCATCTGCCCCCTTCCCAACACACGTTCACAGAAAAAGAACTGAGAACTGGTGGGCGAGATTTGAGTACTTGACAAGGAAAAGAAATATGAAAAAATAAAAAGCAAAAAAACAAAAAAATGAGCATCCATGAAGGGAAATGAAGGAGAGAGCCACAATTCCCTGTTAAACTTGAGAAGACTGAGATTTTTCATTCATTTTTGAAATAAATATTTATTTGAGATGTCCAGCTGATGTCCTTTGCAGACCCAGGTGCCATTTTCCATCTGGAGAGAAATTTATGTTTCAATAAAGGAGTGCTGGCCTCGGGATAATGCCGGTACTACTCCTGACTCTGGTCCCTGTTTCTGTTCTCCAGACCCTTAAGTAAATGGGTTGTCGGGGGAACAGAACTGTAAATGCATTATGATGCTTAACAGTAATCAAGAGCATTTCATTACTTCAGAGCAAGAATATTGTGCCAGCTAAATTGCTTGCCCCCAGATGGTCTCCAAAGGAGGCAAGGAATGACCAGCCAGCAGGAAAAACAGAAATGGACTTTTTCCGTTTTGATGAACATTCCAACCAAAGTTGGCATTTGCTTAAACCTCCCATGGGCAGTCAGTAAGAACTCTCATGGCCAGATTTCCCTGGAAAATGTAAAGTGTCAGAGCTTCCTGAGAAACTGTGCTTCTGTTTTAATAGATGACCAGCTGTTTTCAGGAAGACCAGCCCCCTGAAATAGATTTAAGAAACTGCATAAAATGGGAACCAGTACACAACACTAGTTCAAGTTCACCAGCAAGTTAGCACATTAAAGAGCTTTGGACACTCAACACAATGTGAACATAGATGGATGGTAAAGTTCAATTCTTATCTGTCATATGAGTTTCTGGGGTGCTGGGGTAGGGTTCAAGGAATGAAACAAAAAGTTTAAATTTTCTCCAGGCTCCCCAACCAAGAGAAACTAATGTCATTGGCCTCAATGCATCACATTAACAAAGAGAAAACAGAGCAATGCATGTGTTGCATTGTTCACAACCTCCCCCACACTTTAGCCTCTATGATGATGTTAAGAAGATGACTGCCCACTTCCCTGGCTAATGCAGTTGCATCTTGTCCTTATTGGATAGAGATGTGTGGCTTTGGAACTGTGATGTCCAGTATGGTCTCCACTAGCACATGTGGCAACTCACACTGAAAGTATTCAAAATAAAATTAAATGCAAAATTCGGTCTTCCCCTCACTAGCCACATTTCACATGCTAAATAGCCACAAGTGGCCAGTGTCGACCATACTGGACAGTGAAGATCTAAAACATTTCATCATTTTGACTTGCAGCATATTCGATCTTCTGAGCTCCAGTTTTGATTCCATTGATTCAGTACTTTATGAAGACCTCTGGGTACCAAGTACTGTGTTTGGCATTGGGGCTATAAGAATGAAATCAGACACCGTCTTTTTTATTTCCTTCTAAATTTTATTTATTTTTTTATTGAGAATATATACAGCAAAACACGTATCGATTCAACAGTTTCTACATGTACCATTTAGGGACACTGATGACATTCTTTGGGTTGTGCAGTCATTCTCATCCTCCTTTTCTGAGTTGTTGCTCCTCCATTAACATAAACTCCCTGCCCCCTAAGGTTCCTATCTAACCTTTCGAGTTGCTCTTGTCAATTTCATGTCATAGAGATAGTTCTTAAAAGAGCAGAATGCTCAAGGCAGACCGTTTTCTCTCCCCCCTCCCACTAGTTAAGCTAAACTGTTGTTCAGTTTTAAGACTTTAGGATTGTTCTATGGAATCTTTGATCAAAATGTTGACTAATGGTAGCCAGGCACCAGCCAGTTCTTCTAGTCTCATGGCCAAGGAGGCCATTGTTTGTGGAGGCCATCAGTCACACATTCCAGATCTTCTTCCTATTCCGGACTCTCCTTCATCTGTTTTTCCAGATGAATACAGACCAATTGTGCCTTGGTTGGCCACTTGCAAGCTTTTAAGACCCCAGGCACTATGCAATGAACTAGGAGGTAGAACAAAGGCACTAATCATGTTATTAGGCCAATTAACTGGGATGTCCCATGAAACCACAACCCTAAACCTCCAAATCAAGGAACCTAACACCATGAGGTGTTAGGTGTAGAGAAACAGCTTCAGCAGCTACTTTTTTCTTTTGTCCTTGGTGTAAATATATCTATCACAACTTTTTCCAATTCAACATTTTATAGGTTGTACAGGCTATTGAGGAGCTCTGGTGGTATAGGGCGTAAGGCATATGACTGCTAACCAGAAGGGTGGGGGTTCAAACCACCAGCTACTCCTTGGAAGGAAGGTTGGGTGTCTCTCCCCTTAATTAATGTGATTTTTCCATCAACATTTTTTCCATTAACCCCTTTTACCCCCTCCTCCCTCCTGCCCCTGGTAATCACTAATAAACTTTGATCTCTATACATTTGCCTTTTCTTGTCTTTTTATATAAATGAGCTCATACAATATTTGTCCTCTTATAATTGGTTTATTTTGTTCAGCATAATGTATTGAAGCTTCATCCATACCGTAGCATGTATCAAGATTTCATTTCTCCTACTGGCTGAGTAGTATTCCATTGTATGTATGTACCACATATTGTTTATCAATTCATCTGTTGATGGGCGTCTGGATTGTTTCCACCTTTTGGCTATTGGGAATAGCGCTGCAATGAACATTGGTGTACAAGTCTCTTCTTAAGTTTCTGCTTTCAAGTCTTTTGGGTATATACTTAAGAGTGGAATTGCTAGGTCAAATGGAACTAATATCTCTAGTTTTTCTGAGGAACTGCCATACTGTTTTCCACAACAGCTGTACCATTTTGCATTCTCACCAACAAGGGATAAGGATTTCAGTTTCCCCACATCCTCACCAATATTTTATTTTATTATTTTTTTTAAATCTTAGCCATCCTAGTGGAAGTGAAGTGGAATCTCATTGTGGTTTGATTGGCACCTCTTTGATAGCTAATGATGTTGAACATCTTTTCATGTATCTGGTGACCATTTGAATGTCCTCTTTGGTGGAATTCAAGTCCTTTGCCCATTTTTTGATTGTCTTTTTGCTGTTAAGTTGTGTAAATTTTACACATATTTTAGTTATTAGATTCTTGTTGGATATATGGTTTCTGAAGAAATTCTCCCAGTCGGTAGCTTGCCTTTTCACTTTTTTGGTAAAGTCTTTTGATGAACAAAAGTTTTATGTTTTTATGAGGGCCCATTTATTTATTTGATCTTTTGCTGTTTGTGCTTTTATTATTATATTAGCTAATCATCCACTGCTGAAAGCTAGGCCTGACAGCATCGCCGCTGCTTGTCCTAAGAATCTTATGGTTTTAGTTTGCATATTTAAGTCTTTAATCCGTTTTGAACTTGTTTTGTATATTACATGTTTTTTGAGGCCTGAATCCTGTTTCATTTTTCTGCATGTAAAAATTCAATTTTCCAAGCACCATTTATTGAAGAAAGTCTCTTTCCCCATAAAATGGACTTAGCACCCTTGTCAAAAGTCAGTTGATCATAGATGTGTGGATTTATTTCTGGATTCTCAATTCTATTCCATTGGTCTATGTGTCTACTGTTACACCGATACCGGGCTGTTTTGAAAACTGTAACTGTATAGTATGTTTTAAAACCAGGAAGTGTGAGTCCTCCAAATTTTTTCTTCTCAAACACCATCTTTGCCTTCAGGAAGGGCAGTCTAATGTTGCAGGCAGACATATTACATTATTATAGTGCAGTGTGGTGAGTGCCCAGATATAGACTGCCGGGGAGCAGGGTGGGCAGAGAGGATGGGTGAAGGGAGGAGAGCAGGGAATTCAATTTGGAAAGGCTTCTTACAGCAAGGCCTAGGATGAAGAGTACCTAAACAGCTGACATGGTGACACTGATGATAATCTCATAAGATGCTCATTAATTTCTGAATATGTTCTGTTGTAGAGATATATTTTAATAAACCCAAATGCCTTCCTGTTATTTGGAGATTGGGCTGGGTGTTATGAGATAGGGACACTTGCCCTTTAATAACAGAATTCATCCTTCCAAATTCACAGTTGCCACTTCAAAACGTTCTTT